CCGCCGCTCCGGGGCGGCCGACACCCCTTCTCACTAGCGCCGCTCCGCGGTGCGCGACGGCTGCGGGAGTCGGGCCCCGGCACGGCACGGGGACGCGGGCACCGAGGGGCAGGGGGCAAAAACGCAAGGGCACGGCCACCGGGACAGGCACAGGGAGATGGGACACGCGAGGGCACGAGCACAGGGACACGGGAGGACACGGGGACGTGGGACACAGCATGGACACTGGGAGAGGGACATGGGACACAGACACGGACACAGCACAGACAGCGGGTCAGGGACGTGGGACACAGCGGGGACAGTGGGACAGGCACAGGGATGTGGGGGACAGACATGGACACGGCACAGACAGCGGGTCAGGGACGTGGGACACAGCGGGGACAGTGGGACAGGCACAGGGACATGGGGGACAGACATGGACACTGGGAGAGGGACGTGGGACACAGACATGGACACAGCACAGACAGCGGGTCAGGGACATGGGACACAATGGGGACAGTGGGACAGACAAGGACACAGCATGGACACTGGGAGAGGGACATGGGACACAGACATGGACACAGCACAGACAGCGGGTCAGGGACATGGGACACAATGGGGACAGTGGGACAGACAAGGACACAGCATGGACACTGGGAGAGGGACATGGGACACAGACATGGACACAGCACAGACAGCGGGTCAGGGACATGGGACACAGCGGGGACAGTGGGACAGGCACAGGGACGTGAGACAGACAAGGACACAGGGTCAGGGACGTGGGACAGACATGAACACAGCAGACAGTGGGTCAGGGACGTGGGACACAGCGGGGACAGTGGGACAGACAAGGACACAGTATGGACACTGGGAGAGGGATGTGGGACAGAGACAAGGATGCAGCACAGACAGCGGGTCAGGGACATGGGACACAGTGGGGACAGTGGGACAGGCACAGGGATGTGGGACACAGACATGGACACGGCACAGACAGAGGGACGGACATGCAGATGGGTGTGCAGGGGCAGGGAACACCAAGCTGGACGGACACAGACACGGTGTCACTGCTGCGGCGCAGCACTGCCCAGGAAGGCAGCAGCAGGACAGGGAAGCGAGGCTGTGGCAGGCGCTGGGGCCGCGCTGCCCCTCGCTGCTCATGGGCCGGGGGTCTCTGACCGCGGGGCTGTTGCTGCAGAGTGGATCGAGCGCCAGCAAGCCAAGAACAAGTTCTACTATTACCACCAGAAGTTTCGCCGTGTGCCTGACCTGAGCGAGTGTCTGGAGGGCGACTACCTCTGCTTCTTCGAGGCCGAAGCACAGTGGAGGAGGGACAGGTATGGCTGTCACTGGGCTGCCCCCAGGCGAGGCCCCGGCAGAGTGCACTGCTGCATAGTCAGCCCTGGGGACTGCAGCGGTTGACTTGAACTCGCAGCATTTTGGTGGACTTTGGGGTGTTGAGGCAGCACCTCCTGCCCACCGCATTACAGAACACCCATTTCACAGTGCTGCTGTCCCCCGCAGCACAGCCGAGCTGAGCAGGGTGGCATTAGGAGACATCCTCCTGCCACTGCCTGGTTGCTGCAGGACAGACCAGGATCCTCTAAAAACCCAGGGCTGACCTTCCACAGGGTACCATCACCCCTTTGTTCAGCTTTTCTATCGTCTCTTGGCTGCGGTTGCATTCGTCATCATCTTTCCCGCAGGATGGTTGATCAGGAAATCGTGGAGATAGTCCGGGAGAGGCTAGGCGCCTGCAAGCAGAGGGAGGGACCAAACCAGTTCCAGAACTGCGCCAAGGAGATGGAGCAGCTGGTGCAGGTCACCAAGGCCTACCAGGACAGATGTGAGTACGGCAACAGCCTGTGCACCTCTGCCGCGGCTGCGGCAGCACGCGGGGAAAGGGGTCTTAGCCACGTCCCAGGCTTCACGTGGAACAGAGGCTTATTTCTTTTTAGCTGCTGAGGGGCACTCTTCAGGCATTTACTTTCTCTTTAGATGGTGATCTTGGTGTCCATGGAAATGCGAGGTCGTGCCTGATGAAGCAGAAGCACAGGATGATGGAGGAGAGGAAGGCACAAGCAAATGCATCTCAGTAGATCTAAAGGTTAGCGCCTCCCTCCGTGGTGCTTGTATCGAATGCTGCATGTTGCACCTTTGAACTCTGATGCTGTTGACCTCTGCAATAAACGTGCAGCCCAGACATCTGCCATACAACTAGAATCTAGACTCCTTCTTTGAAGAGATCTGCAAACACTTGCAGATTTCTTCCCTTTTCCAGCTCTGCATTCTTCTTTGAATTCCAGCTGATTGTTACCACCCTCTAAACCACGGCCAGCCCCTCGCTGCAGGCAGCCCTGGCTGGGATTTCCCCTCGGGAACTCTCCCCCACCTCCGTGGAAGAACAGAAACGCCCTGTGCTGCTCTGCCCAGCCCTGGCAGAGAACTCCCTCAGTTAGGGTAAAGATCACATGCTGTAGGACAGCACATAATCTTCAGAGCTGGTTCTGGACCCCATTTAGGATTAATACATGATTAACAAGGATTAGTGTAACGTAACATACTATTTCATTCAACAGATGTTCAGGCTCTGGCCCACAGACCTGAACCTACTCAAATTCCCAGCGGAGATTTAATCCATCTGCCCGATGCATTAACCGCCCCGTCAAGCCAATCCCAGTTTCTTGTTCACTGATCACTTTATTGTCTTGTACAAAAACCACTTAAGTCGTTGCCACAGCAGCTGCCTGGGTTCTCTGCACGGAGACTCTGGTGTGGGTCTTAGCCAGATGATCAGTGAACTCCTGCGAAAAAAAAAACAAACACAAAAAAAACGTGTTTTATTTTCTTAAACCACTATCATGGGTTTCTCAGCACTGCATCCCTTTCCAACAAGATGTGTATGCGGGGGCTGGGGTAGTTCAGATACAACTTATTTTTACTTAATATTTCAAAGCTTTCCTCGTCCTATTTCCTTTGTCCACAAAATGCCATTTTCAAGTATTACTCAAAACCGCATGCTGAAAAAAATCACACTCTACCCGGCGGTCAGCTCTGACTGCAACCCTACTCTCCCGTTACGAAACTGCAAATTCTTTGGGTACGGCATCTGAACTCTACAGGGTAGGAAGGGTAAGATTTGAGCTGCAAATTGCAGGAATGCTCTTACCTGGTAAGGAGACTTGGTGAACACAGTCTCTTTCCAGAGGTCGGGGGTCAGGTAACTGTAGGTCTTGGAGATGGCATCGAAGGTGGCTTTAGCTACGGACAGGAGTCAAACATTGCACAGGACGGCTGCAGAAACCCGCTCGCTCGTACCCACCCACGCAGCCCCAAAAATGTAGGATTTAGGAAAGAACAGGGAGACCACAGCGGGGTCTCTCTGATATACACACAAAACTCAAGTTTCTTTCTCTCTCCAGTTACGACAATTACACTACTTCAAACAAGTGCAATCGCGCAGATTGGGAGATTTTCTTTTTTTAGTATCAATGCATGTATAAAAACACAGTTTCTTGTAACCGACTTTCACAGAACTTCAGGATCATCTGCAGCAGGACTAACCTGCATTGTAAAAAGTATCAGCAGAAGTCTTCGCTTCTGCTTGGCTGCTAGAAGCTTTTGATTCAACACAGATTAAAAAATACTCTAGAAATGGATGTGTTGCATCCCTGTCAGTGACAAAAATGGCAATACATACAGCTAAGCTACAACATGAAAACCCAAAGCTTACCAAAGTTGCCGAGGGTGGCAGTGCAGCCCCTGGCCGAGGTGTAACAGTCATCAATACCAGCCATCATCAGCAGCTTCTTGGGGACAGGGGCAGACACGATCCCTGTACCGCGGGGAGCCGGGATCAGACGCACCAGGACGGATCCACACCGGCCAGTGACCTATGCAAGCGCCAACAGGTTACAGCTCCCGAAACACACGCTACAGCACCATCACCGAGACCAGGCCCGGCAGGTCATTCTCACCTTGCAAGGCACGGTGTGGGGCTTGCCAATCTTGTTCCCCCAATAGCCTCGTCGTACAGGTACGATGGACAATTTGGCCAAAATGATCGCCCCGCGAATAGCAGTGGCAACTTCTTTAGAGCATTTAACACCAAGACCAACGTGGCCGTTGTAGTCCCCGATAGCAACAAAAGCCTAGGGTTGAAAAGAGAAGTTTTCAGTGGCGGCTGCGCTGCACAGGAACACCCTCTCAGCAGAACGCAATCCATCAGGGTCTCTCACCAAGGATAACGCAATGCGTGTGCTCAGCAGTCACAACTCACAGTTCAAGAAGCCCATTTTTCCCCTTAGGGCTCATCCTTCAGTCAAAACCAACTAAGGTTGGAGAACTGGGATTCAATTCCCTGCTACAGCCTCATACTGGTCAAAAGTGCCGCTAGTTTCCAAGCGGCATTCCCGCTTTACAACTAAGACTTCTCTCTCCACCACAGCCCCAAACAGCCAGAGCTGCTGCACAAGTGCGACTTAATCTGGTGCCACAGCTGCTTCCAACAACATCTGAATATATTGCTAGGGTTTTAAAATTAATACAAACACTTTGTAAGCGACACAAGCTGATCCCCACACCAAAATATTTACTAGATACCACAGAAGGAAATAAAGGGGTCTGGAGAACAAGTCTTATGAGGAGCGGCTGAGGGAACTGGGACTGTTTAGCCTGGAGAAAAGGAGGCTGAGGGGAGACCTCAT